AACTCAAAAGGATTCAATATACCCGACTAGTTTGAAAAATATCCCTTAATGAAGTTGATTTGAATTCTTGGTTAAGTCCATGTTTGACTATTAAAACAAAACTCTTCGTTTATTAAACTCATTTTTAATCATATATTTTTACAATAAAATATTTTACACGTAAATTCAAAACTTCTAATCACATATTCTTCGAAAATTCATTATTTCGAAAGTCATTTTTTCGTTAAAAAAAATGATTATCAAACAAGCACTATGGGACAGGAGTGGCTGCAAATCTTTTAAAGAGTAACTCAGCCAGGGTCGACAACATGGTGAAAAATAAGATTTTGAAATGGTTGATGTGGTATAAGAAATGAAAGACAAATGTCATTGAATTCTAGAAGAAAATAAGAAATAACACGTGTCAGGCTGAGTTGTTGAAAACGGAAATGCTTTACATTTTTGGTTTTGAATTTTTTTTATTTTTGTCTCAATTTTTGAGATTATTATGGGAGGTCATACGACGTCGAAATATTGTATTCTTAATACTATTTTAAAGTGTTTACGATCTAATTTTTCTCATTCCTAATGACGTGCGAAATGGCCAATTGTAACGGAAGTTATCACTCATCGAAGTAAGTCATTTCATTATATATTTTGAAACAGTTTATTTTGACAAGTGGTAACTTTCGTTATGGTTGACCGTTTTGTACGTCGTTAGGGATGAGAAAAATTAGGTCGTGAGCATTTTGAAATTGTATTAAAAATACAATATTTCGACTTCATTCGACGTCACGTAATAATTTCGAAAATTGAAACAAAAATAAAAAAAAATTCACAGCTAAAAAGTCCGCATTTCCGTTTTCAACCACTGACACGTTTCATTTCTTAAGGAATTAAATGGCCTTTGTTTTCGGTTTTTTTATGTTACGTCAAGTGACAACCAAGCGACTTTGTCCAATTATTCTGCAGTTTTTATTTGCAATTTATTAATGCGTTGTTTTTTTGTTTCTGAACAGTAATTTGATCTGTTGTAAATCGCGTTCTTTAGAATAGAAATGTGAAGTTGAATTTTGATCTCTACGGTCCAAAATGCAAGTGACAAATTGAATATCATTTGCACATCGATATGACATGCCACAAGGGGTCAATGACGACCAAAATTGATATAGCTACGTTTAATGTATTTATGTCAATGTGAGATTATATCCATGTAGTTTCCAACATGTTTTAGGACTGGTAAATGAAGGAATAGCAGTATACAGTGTCGATGAGTAGTAACTTCGGTAGCATTTAGTGCAATTAACCCTGTTTCGTGTGTAAAATTGGAAGAAATTCTAAGCCTTGTGAACCATGACTGTAACAATAATGGTCTTATGATGGCTAAATTTTTTAGCGTATGAAAAGCGCAATCATCTGAGCACTGCTGTGCAACTTAGGTGGAAGGTACAGAAGGTCTCCTTCCAGGGGGACTCGACCACTAAATAAGTAAAATATTCAATCAAATTCATTTTTGGTAATATTCATTTCAATCCTTTGGGCTTTTCGTTAGTGGGCGTACTACTGGTTCCTGCAAGGTGCCCCGGGTTCCTTACATTTTTACATAATATCTTTCTACTAAAATAAAAACAAACAAGACATTGAACAATCAATATCTGAATCATGCTGAGAGATCATGCAAGCCAAACTCGCCTTGTCCATCTATTTTCTGTTATAAGAACAGGAGTAAATCTTTCCCTTCTTGAACAGTTTTAGCTATTTGCACTGCCTTGGATGGAAATTGTCTTCCGATAATAAAGACCTAATAAGATTTTCTAGTCTCTTTGCACCTGCAGTAGGCCTGAGAACTGTTATATTACCCACAACCGAGCATGGATCTGTCCCGTTTTCCCCATTACCTATGCACCACCCACCTGGAGTGAGCATGCCTGGACCACGAAACAGGAGTTCAGAATCAATTTTATCAAGCACTGGGTCTTCATGGTGAAACTTTCTAGCAAATGGAGTGTTACTGTCGACCATTCTTTTCATGTCATCAACAGTAAGGTAGTGGGGATGCTGCTTCGGAGGATTATCCCACGATATGAAATGTAGGTCACTGTTCACAGTTGTATTCTGAAATTCTTGAGCATTACAGATGATGGTGTGGAAATAGCCTTCTGGAGAGGATAAGAAATTAGCATAGTACATGAGGACTGTTCGTGGTAAGTTATCCCATCCCCATACGCAGTAGTCGATGAACGGTCGAGAGAGTGCCATCCAAGCAGATCCTGTAGAAGAGGGAATTGAGTCAAGTCCTGTTTCGGGCACAATCAAATCATGTTCAACATAAACATTTTCTTTTAATACCCTTTCATCCAAAAATTGACCATAAGAATGAGCTCACCCCTGAAATTAAATACATTTTCTCTAGAAGATATGATGCAGCAATTTACTGCCATAAAAGTACTGCAAAAGCAAATTACACATGAAAGATTTTCAGTTGGCTGAACGAACCAGCCATGGACCAATACATGTTTTCCAACTATTTCTCTATATTTTTCACTTCAAGAATTTATAATAAATTATAAAAATTTCCAGAATTTATGTTAAAAATCTGAAAGTCACACATTCAATGCAACTCAATTAAACACAAGAAAGCTACAGCATTGAGGTAAAATTGTAAAAAACGATGCAAGAGATGTTTATCATACCTAAAAGAACGGACATAACAAGAATATATATTCCTACTACAATATTAAATAAGTGATGTCAAGCGATGAAGCAATGATCAACGTAGGTGTGAACACGGTTCGGTTTAAGTAGTTTTTGAACTATTTTCAAACCAAACCTTTTTTAACAGTTCAAAAAAAATTCCAATCAAGCCAAACTTTCTAAGCCAGAGCAAAACATTTTTTGCAGTTTGATTTAGTTTCGAACTATGGGTTTAGCAACGTAAAAAAAAAACATCTTTTGAACAAATGAAAAACAAAATATATGAGTTTGAACTTTGAACATTCTAAATATAAAAGTTACAATACTATTATATTTTTTATCCCAATACAAGCTTAAATCAATACAAGGTTCAACCACAAAATTTAAGCTTGCAATTTCATTCAACAAAAATATTATCATTAATAAATTATAATATAGTTTTCCTAAAGAAACAATAAAATCCAACTATCAAGTAATTTGTTGAAATTTAAATTGAACTAATAAATAATATATCTTGGGTAAAACAAGTAATTTTTCTTTAAAAAATTGGCGAACAGTTCAGTTTGGTCACAAGTGATTTTTTAATATCGAAACATAAACCAAACCATTTCCAAAAGAGTTATTTTGATTTTGAAACATGGTCGAAACCTAAACCACTTTGACCCAAATCAATGTTTTCAAAACCATGGTTTCAGTTCGATTGACAGATTGGTGGTTTTTTTATTCACCTCTAGATCATCCACGTCAAAAAGATTAAGACGAACTTAAATTGTGGGAGCCAATAATAAACCTAATGTATATGCAAGAAATAAAAGTTTCAGTACTTAGTGCTTTCAATTGGAAAAACAACAACAAAGTATAGTGCAGATATCAATGTAAAATGAGAATCATGAACTGACCAGAAGGTATACAACCACTCTTTTCAAATAAAGGTTTTCACACTTGCTCAGACCAATATATAAGGATTTTGTAAGAACGCATACTCATAAAACTTCAAATTTAATCAAAAATCTCGCAGCGGAGATAATTTCTGAAGATACATTTCTGTTTGCTTCTGCATCTTTCTCCCAACCTCTTTTGAACTTTTTTTAGCATTGGGAGAATATCTCAAGTCAAAGATCATAATTTGGAAATTTCAGTTGTGAATCTTTCCAATTATTAGAGAAAAAGTCACGGATACACAATAGAGGAGAATTATCAAACGCTATATGTAAACAATGAATTAATGGGTGTTAATCATTTCAATCTTCTTGTTTCCATCTCGACAAACTAGTAGCTTAATGATATCAGATTATTTACCAACAGAAGTTCCATAAGAAAGTTACTGTTTCACTATTTAACTGAAAAATAACATTGATTAAGAGCATGTTTGGTTATGCTTAAAAGAAAACTACGAGTTTGAAATAGCATTTTGTTTCCAAAATTTTTTGGATACATTATTTTTTTCTTACTTGTAAGTACAAAATGGAATTCATTTTGAAAGTAACCCTTACATGAGAATAATTTATAAGTAAATTTTTTAGCTTCGACAAATTATGCTCTACATACAATGAAGTAGAAAAAATTTTTTTAGCTTCGACAAATTATGCTCTACATACAATGAAGTAGAAAATAATGACTTAGACATCGGTAAAGAATCTTGATCTTGGCAGTCTTAATGCACATTTGAACTTTTTACTAAGAAATGGAAATGACAAGTAAAGAACAAAGGACTTAAATTCTTGAAGAATAAATCCAGATGGGCAACAAAAACCAAAGATTCGTCAATGACAAAAAGTAGGAATATGGATAACAAAAAGGCGAAGCATTCAAAACTCATCCAGATAAAAAAAAAAAAACTACACTCCACATTGAAAGAATTAACAAAGAGCAACTTATAGAAACGTAACATGAAAAGCCATATAAGCAATGCCAAATTCGCACCGGTAAAGAGTTTAAATGCTGATGGCACACTTCTTCGCTGCGTAATCCAGAACACATCAGATTTCTTTGTCATGTAGAGCCCTGGATCAATTATAATTGGCTTTGCCCTTTGAAACCTAAAATATATCAAATGACATAAGTCCCTAAACCACATACACAACTCAAGAAATTACACAACAAAGAAGAATAATCCAAAAAAACAAAAATTACTTACTCTTTCCAGCCAATATCACTTGTATGATCAATGAAATTAAGATCCCGCGGCAAGTACGAAAATGCATTAAGCATATCTAATTATCATTCAAAACCCAAAACCAAGAAAACAAATATCAAGAACCAAAGTCCGCTGTACTCAAATAAGCTAAAAATTCAAAATAAGCGAATATATGTAGAATTATTAACATTAATTTAGTACCATCTTGAGTAACCAGTGGGTAATCAGCAGCGCTGAGATTAATAAACCAATCCCAATCTCCACCTTCCTTCAGCAAAATGGCTGATGCATGTAGTGTATTCGCCACCATTGTTGGCCCGCGGTAAGTCACCAAGTTAGCCTTGGTAATCATCCGAACATTCTTAAATTTCCCAAAAACAGGATGGGTTTTTACATAATTATACATATTTAGGCGTTCCTCGGCTGTGGACTCCGCGTCTAGGTGGACTACATACTGGTTGTACGGGTGGTAGAGAGCCTGGAGGGTACGGCGGAGCATGGCACCGTCGCCGGCGGAGCCAGATATTAAGTATGCCAATCGCGGTAGAGAAGGGAGGCTGGAAATTGGGATAGGCCGGAGCTTAGACTCCACAAAAATAGACGTGGTGGTGGTGGTGGTGGCGGCGGAGGAGGAGGAGAAATACCGGTGGAATTGCAGCCCGACATTCGGCGAGGTTAAGGTTGTTAAGAAAAGAAGAAACAATGAGAAAATTGAACCAATTGCTAATGGGAAGATCCATTTTCTCTCCATTGATTGTGGGTGCCTCAAATGCATATAATAGTTCTTGAGCTTCTTCATTTCACTAAAATGCAAACCAAAATTGAAGAATGTGGAATAAAGGGTTTGAGTGGGAAATTCTGATCTTGCTTAAAAAATCTAAAATTATTAAAGATTAATAGTTCTTCAGCTACTTCAATACACTAAAATGCAAAGCAAAAATCGATAAGGATTACCTAAAATTGAAGAATGTGAAATCAAATTATATGGGTTTACAGCGGAAATTTCTGATCATACATAAAAAATAAAAAATTATAAAAGATTAATAGTTCTTCAGCAAAAAAAAAAAAAAAAGAAAAAAAGGTCTCTAAAACTGAATACCAAAAATCGAAGAACCTGTAATCAAATTACGTGGGTTTAGAGTGGAAAGTTCTGATCTTACTAGAAACTGTAAAATAATCAAAGATTAACAGTTCTTCAGCTTCTTCATTTCACGAAAACGCAAAGCAAAAATGAAAAACAACGCCTGTAAAAAAAAAAGAATGTGAAATAACATTATGTGGGTTTAGAGTGCAAAGAGTCAGATCGTTAAAGAAAAGAAATCTAAAATTATTGAAGATCAACTGGAAATTTTGATTTATAGAACGGTGGAAAAATGAAGTTGGGTGAAAAGTAGAGGGGTTTGCCGGTGGGAGTTGTAAGTTGTTGGCTGCCCCTATAAACATTAATTTAAAGTACTTTTCTTGCTTCATATCTCCCTATCTCATTAAAGAATCATTCCATTATTTTATTTATTTTTCCCCTACAAAAAAAAAAAAAAAAAAATTAAAAAATGCTTCATTGTTTGTAACATAGCAAATATATGGGTTAACTTTGGGTCATCCTTTACTCGTTGAAGAATTAAACCACAATTTGTACTACATATGAATTTGTTTCGTCACTTGTATAGTTCTGTCGAAATTAATGAATAGAATATTAACGAATGACGTATGTAGACTATTTTGACAAGATTCAATAATGTTTAAACATCATTGTCAAGTGCTGTGAATTTTCGTGACGGCAAACATTTTATTCTTGAATGCTTTTCTTCAAATCTCACATAGTGAAGATATTTTTCCACTTCATCATGATTCAAGGGCAAACCGGTCTTTTACCAAATAGTAGTTGGAGAAATTGGAGGCTTGATGTCCGCCGTCACAATGTCTCTTCTCCCTCGTTCAGTTGTTTGTTTTGATGAAAATTATGGGCCCTTTTGATTTGATTTGTGTTTTAATTTTAAGTTCTTTTCAATCTTTCGATTTAAGCCCCAATTTGGGTCACCTTATTTTCTCATTAAAATGAAAAATATGACCGTTATCCATCACATCAACATTTAAATTCAAATTTTCTATCTCTTGTGTGGGCCCCAATAACGGCTATATTTTTCATTCTCATTCTACAATAAGGTGGCTCAAACAAGGTCTAATAAACAACAAAAAAAAAAAAAAAAATCCTGTGAAAAGATGGTCCACTCTATTTTTGATTACTTCATACTAAAACAACTAAACCTCCGTTTGTTTTTCATTTTTCATCCATAAAAATGAAAAATATGACCGTTATTCATCATATCAACATTTAAATTCAAATTTTTTATCTTTTGTGTAAGCTCCAATAACGGCTATATTTTTTATTCTTATTCTACAAAAAGGTGGCTCAAACAAAGTGTAAGTGTCTATTTTAAAATTTATAAAAATGAATTTAATTTGTAAAAAAATATTTCTTAAAGCATAAAATTAGAAAATATGTTTAGCCCCTGTTTGAGCCACATTAAAAATTACATTCTCATTCTTCTACTCATTTTCAACCATACATTCTTCAATAAAATAATATTTTTCATCACATCAATAACTTTTCTTTCTTTTTCAATCACACATTCTCCATCAATCTACTATTTCAAAATAAATTCTTCCAAAATAATGTGGCTCAAACACACCCTTAGTTTGAAATTTTAAAAAATTATATTATGATATTTTATTCAATAAAATTTGATTACTGAGTAAAAATAAAATAATTTTATATTAATATATTATCAAGTAATATATACATTTTTAGAATTGATGAATCTTATAATATTTTTTCTCATTACAAAAGTAAAATAAATAATAAATTGAGTTCAAAATATATGAAATAAAAATGAAAATTAATGACGTTACAGATGATATTCTTATCTATGTTTATTTAAATATTTTTTAGAATTTTTATTTCAATAATTAATAAGAGCTCCAATTAATTTTATTTTATATATTTTTTTTATTTTTCAAGAAATTTTTATAATTTTATATCTTCAGAATTTTTATTTTTATTTTTTCAAAATTTTCAATTTTTTAGAATTTATTAATTTAAATTTTTAGAAATTTATATTTATATTTTTTAAAATTTAAAAATTAAAATTTTTAAAATTTTAAT